AAAAAATTGTGGACGGCCAGATTTTGGTAAATCTTTTACAGAACCAGTAGTTTCTATTTTTTTTAAGTCGGATAACAGAAGATTGCACAATATTTCTTTTGATACGATAACGGGAAGAGAATCCTTCTTGAAGAAGAGCAGAAATTCGTGATGATTGTTCGATATTGATTTAACGATATGTTTATTAAAATAAAATGAAAAACTATACTAATAGGTATAACTTTTATATAATATTCGAGTTGTGTTTTGTTATAAAATTTGGAAATGTTATATGGATTTACTTTTGAACGAACAAACAGTCAAAAAAAAAACGCATCGCTGAAATATTACATTTTTGTAAATTATATGTTGATTTATTTCCAAAAATAGTAATTAAATGAATGTTAAGGAACTTCTAGTTTTCCCTTTTTGTATATATTTACATGTATTTGCACATGTTAATACATGTACATGTACGTAACATGTAAAATCACGAGATACATGTATTACCATTATTTACGCGTGATGCAAAATATATGACGGCCACGACAATAATTCTAAAGAAAAAGACAATATGACTAAAGAAAAGAATGTAATTTTATTTTGACTCGGATCAAAATGCTTCGTAAATAAAGTAAATATCTCTAAATTATCGAGTAAGTAAGTCAAAGAGAAAGAATAAAAAAGAAAATAAATCACCATCACTGTGATGTTAACGTATAAAAAAGGGAGAGTTGTGTTGTTATTGATGTGTAGTTGACGAAATTTTCTGTCTAGTGGTGATAATTAGTTACAAACTTAATAATTAACTATCTCGCTAAGGAAGTTCGAGTGGATTTTTTCGAAAAAATGGTTGTATATGTTCTAGTGTTAAAATAATAAATAGCGACGGGATATAAGAAATAAAGAGACGGGATATATAACTTCTATATATAGAATAAATAAGTTTCGAAAAATATAACATCGACCACATAAACTTTGAAATATTAGAAAGTTGACATCAGTTTATCCCCTCCAATCGTAACGCACACCCTCTCGTAACTTGAACGTTTAAATTTCATTCGAGAACTTTCTAAACTTTTTTATCCATAATAAAATAATACGTGCTCGCCAACATGGAAAACTAACAAAGTTCAGCTGCTCTAAATTCATGGGTATGTCATGACCTTCAAGGGGATCGATAATGATATCACAAATTTCTTTGCAGTTGTGCATTCGGACATCACAATGTGCTGATTTCAAATATCATTCAAATGCTTTTTCAAGGTCTTGTCATATGTTGAACTCATGCTCTGAAGGGTTGAACAGATAGTTCGGGTAAAATATTAATTTCTAGGATTCCAGACCAAGTTCTTTCAAATTGTTTTGCATTTGGTTTGGCTCAATCTGTAATTGAGTTAAGTGGAAACAAAATGAGGTGTATTCTCTGTATCACAAATTTATTCACATTTTCAGAAAATTTAAGGTATCCCTAATTTGTCTAACATTCTTACAACCATTTTAGGCGGATAACGGAATTGACCAGGCTTTGTCGATCATTGAGGTCGGTAATTTCTGTTTTAGCCTCGGTGGAACGGTACGAAATAATATATAATAGTAAGTTCATCAACATGTGGCGGATGATTGATACGTACAGATGGCAAGTAAAAAGTGAATTCCATATCGTTTGTTTATTTTTGAAGTTGTGCTCGATTTGCAAAAAACGTTGATACTCTTGGGAGAGAAGACACGCGAAATTTTTCATCGTACTTGCCAAAATGCATTAATAAGCGTTGTTTAAGGCATCTTGTGCTTTGAATGTGTTATTAGTCATGATGTTGTCGGCTGCAATTCTTGCACAGTGACGTGATGTTAAAGATAATAAAAAAACGAACGTGTTTGAAAATTTCTATTGATATCGCAATACACTGCATATAGTGTCCCGGGTATAGTATCTCCCCAAATACTATTTCTGGGTACTATATGAGTGCACTACGGTATCTCATCAAATAATTTACAAACGAATTTCTTTTTTATGGTCGTATTTATAATTGTACACGCAATTGACTTTGAGTCAAAGTACTCCGATCTACGTGGATACAATTTATGTGACACACATCGATTTGAGTTTGGACTAGGACAATGAAGATACCTTTTTACTTTCATTAATGCTATGAGATGCACAGCCACAGGGTTCAAAATAACAAAGAATATCGTTATAATAAAGGTTAAAGGCAATTAAATAAAAATATTTAAAATTTTATATAAAAAGGAAATTTATATAGTGCTCTGACGTTTTTGAAAAGCTGCGTCTTACATATTGTTTTTAATTGTTATGTGATTTTACTTTCTTTATAGAATACGTAACAATAAAATCGTTATTTTGTTATCCGCAAAATCTCTTTAACAATTTATTAAGCAAATCATATAAAGTTAGTATTATAAAAGATATAAATTCTTTTAACAAAGGTTTTCTTTCTTCCATTTGTATAATGGATCATATGATAATGCATTTAAGGAAACTGCATTCCGTAGCAAACACATTCCGTAGCAAACAGAGATGAGAAGATTCTTTACACCGATCGATAATGAGCATTCCGAAAGGTCTATCATTTCTTCTCCAATTCTTTGAAATTTGCTAATTAATTAATGAAAAGCTAATAATATAATGGGTCTCAGATCGCGCTTTCTCAGATACTTTGACTTGACTAGAAAAGTTTATGTGACAAATAAAGAAATCAATGAATGAAAGAGCGCGTCTTGCAACCCCTTAACCCCTAATTGAAATACATTCTTTGATAATAACCAATTATTTTATGAATATAAAAATTTTAGCTTGCAACTTTCTGTTTTATGCATATTCATTTATAAGCTTTGATTTACAACATGATCTTTGAAAAAGGCAAAAAGATAATGTAATGAACCGGCCGGTTGTACTACGAAAATAAGATTTGTAGAACGTCTGTGTATAATAAGAATAATTATTCATATTGTTTTAATAATAATACTCAGATCCGAGAAAACTTTTTCAAGTCCGATCTCTATACAACTATCACCGATAAAGCTGCATAAGCATAAACCATTTATTATTATTGATACCTAGTAAATTTTAAATATTTATTTTTATATTTTCAATAATATTTAGCTGTGCCATCATATAAATAATTCTTTTCTATGTTGACAACGATCAGTATATGTCTAGTTGGCAGAAAAAAAGAACTAATTTACTGTACCAACCGATTCGATTCGATTAAACATAGTCATAAGTTTAATGGCGTATCAATTTTCATCGTCTAAATACATGTATAAATTTAATAAATTATCAGTAATTATTAATTTTTATAATACCTGGATATAACGAAAGAAAACAAGACCTTTTGTTTTAAAATTATCTCTATATAGCGAAGTTTCATAAGGAAACTCGATATAATGAAAAAAATTCCAGCTCAAAGGTTCGTTATATCGAGGTTTGACTGTAGTAACGGTAAGATAATCATTACATAATGTATCGAGTTTCTTTTTTAAAAAATCGATATTTACATTTATTACCAAATAGAGCGGCTATGTTACAATATTTACATGTTTGGGTTTTGTCGTTATCGTTATCGTTATGTCTGGGTGTCTATGTACATAACGATAACGATAAATACCATCGCTATTATTTCTATTACGCAACTATTTGATACAACTCACTTACTTAAAAAGAATTTGCAGTAAATTGGTAGAGATGGGACTTTAAATGTTTTCTCAGAATTAGACTTGTAGTATTCGTTATTAACAAATTATCATTATATCGATTACAAAATACGATTAAATTTTTTATTGAAGCTTAGTTGTCATTACAGGTATCTCAGTTGCCATTACCATTTGAAATAATCTTGTTAGTTGTTGAAGTTAATTTCGTTGTCGTTACCATTATAGTTACCATTAAAATCACTCCCGTTATCGTTACAATTGCGAATGTCATTATAGCTGCCTACGTTTTCGTTATCATTGTGGTTCCATTAAAATAACTCCAGTTATCGTTATCATTATATTTCCATTAATATAATCCCAGTTGTAGTTACCATCATCGTTGCTATTATAGCTACCTACGTTGTCGTTATCATTGCGATTGCCATTTTAGCTACTTACGTTTCCGTTTCCATTACCGCTTCCATTAAAATCACCTCATTTTAACAGGGCTAGTGGTGGTCAAAGCAACGGAAAGAGTGACATAAGCGAAAGTTGTAAAGAAGCTCAAATAGTTTTTATTATTTGAAACATATTACCCTTCTCTTCTCTATGTAGGAATATTGTCTGATTAGTGTAATTACTTCTATTTACAGACAGTAAAACAAGTTTCAAATATATTAATGTAAAAATTTACAACCTGCAACCAATTTGATCAGTCAATTCAAAGAGTTACATAAGTAACAATAACTTTTAAGCCGCTGTTAAGTTTATGCAAAAAAGTCCAACAGAGTGTCACATATAATGATAATATAAATCGCGTTCACCTTCATATATAGACAGGATCTAAAATCATTTTTAACAAATTTTTCAAACATCACACTTATCGTTATTGATAACCATCAATAAATTTCTTAACTGCATTTCTTGATCATATTCACAGATTAAATTTTGTATTTATTGAATTTATAAAATACAATCTGTGGATGAGGTTAAATGTTGTGCATCATGTAAAACTTTAGAGTTCAAAGATAGCACTTTCTCCAACAAACTTCCTAGTAGAGATTGAACTCTTCTAAAAAAAAACAACCCCGGGTTACCCGACAGTTGAAATCACGGGTTACCCCCAGGTAAGAATTTTACCTGTTGTACACAACCCGTGATTCAAATTATTTGTGCTTACTATTTCAATAAATTTTATTAGACAATTATAAACCATCTGACTTAACAAATAATTTGCTCGCTAGTTTAGGTACCAAGCAGGTTCTTCTAGAGGTAATTTGATTTCCTGGATTCAACCTGATTTAGCAAATTGCATTCTATATTAACAAATTCAGATTCTGAATTCGATGCTGGAACTAACCGACGGTTTACCCACCCACATCCATCTGGGTAGCTACGATCACAACCTGGATATCTGACCCACCCATGGGTAATCCAGCTGTACCTAACCCGGTTCCAATCTCTACTTTCTTTCTAGTGAATTTGCAAGCTTCCCTAATTAATGAAAAATATTCTCATAAAAGAATAATATTTTTAACTTGGAAAGGACATACATATGGTGCATAGCATCTAAAGTCATCAAACGTTTGTATTTATAAAATGTATGCATTTCATAAAATATAAATGTTTGATGAATTTAGATGTTTTACACGATATACCATGTAGCACTGTTTAAATTATCCTCCACTGTAGAAAATTTAAACTTAATTTAATATGAATTATTCAAATACACGGTGCAATTTTTGAAGTTAAATTAAGTAGCAAGATTTTCTTTAGTAAATTATGATATTACACATTTCTTAATAATAGAACAAGAAATTACAATTTATTATAGAATTATACTTTCTCTCTATAATACTGTTAAATTGCTAAATAATATCTAAAGTTGAGTATACGTATTCAGCATAATTAAATCATTTTTTCTTAATTCATATGTGAATGTGCAAATTTTGTAGCTTGTGCTTTGAAAAGCGAATATTAACACAATTTGCTTTGCTCATGTGAAACATTTCAAAGTAAAGCAGTATAATTTGCTTTTATAGAAAACATTGTTGGAGTCATTTGATATATCATTTTAGTTCTTACAGTTTGACAGGAAAGATCAAACACAATATACTTAATGTTTTTGCATAAGATTTTCGCTTAACTTTAACCATAATGTATTCATTTTCAGGAAAATCAACATTTAAATTAGCGTTAATTTATTTGTAATGCGACTAATTGGATTTGGATCCTATAGTTTATAAAATTTCTTACATGTATTACTGTTATTAATTTATCAAATTTATTTACAGAAAAATTTTTGAAATATAGTATTAATCTTTATATAGTGCATAATATCTAAAGTCATCAAACGTTTGTATTTTATAAAATATATAAACTTCTCAACTAAGAAGCAAATACAAAATTTAATCCGTAAATATGCTCATAAAGGGACTATTCTATCATATTCACAGATTAAGTTTTGTATTTACTTCTTAGTTGAAAAGTTTATACATTTTATAAAATACAATATTTGATGACTTTAGATATTATGCACCATATCGCTTTGAATAAAGATTTTGAAAGCTCAACTATTGATTTGCCTTGTGATCCTGCTACTCAAGTTAATCCTTGCGTTAACAAACAATTCGCGCAATGTATTGGTGATAAATTTGCATTAACTTTATGCGGTGCTGAATTAGTGTGTACTGTTGTGCCGCTGGTTAATAAATGTGGAACTTCGATCATTGTGGTATTTATTATTTTTACTAAATTTATAGATTTAATGATTGCTTATTAAAAAAAATACTTTTAAATTTGTTTAGATACTGCCACAGATCGAGATGTTCACATTAAGGTGCTTCTGGACCAATTACGATTACTTTTACTTCTACTTCTACAACTTCTGCACGGAAAACAATTACTTCTACTTCTATATCTTCAGCACCAAAAACAGTTATGATTACAAAAACAATTACTTTTACTTTTACTTCTTGAACTCTAAAAAAATGATTACAATTATTCCTATATCTTTAGCACCAAAAACCATTACAACTACAAAAATTACTTAATAAAGTTACTATTTGAATTGTACACAACATGGATGCTATTACTTTGTGAACTGTAGTCTAGCTTTTTGATATCCCATATGTTTTCTTTCCTGTTAATACTGGCAAATAGACTTTTTAAGGTATCGGAAATAAGAGCTGGACTCTTGTAGAATAGTTCTGACTATCTAAAATCATTGTATACTATTTTTAGTTTTCTTAAATAAATCAAAAATCTTCAGTCGCTATTATTTCTTTTTGACCATTGTGAGCAACTTTAGTAAATAAATATTATTATTTATACTCAAATATTATGTAAAAAAAAACTAAATTAACGTTAAATGCAATGTGATACCAGGATTGAGAACATGTGTGAACGCGCGTTAAAGGATGAGCACACAGATTCAAAATGTACTTCCTGGAGACAATTGAGTAATTTAATTGGCAATTCACAAATAAACCCCAAATTTGCATTTCCGATGAAGTAAAGTTTCCTAATGTTTAACTAAATGGCTTGAAAATTTTTATTAAAAAATCCTTGATATTCAAGCTTTTTATTTTACTTAATCAGCATAAAAATACAAATTTGATTTTCAAATGATGGCAATTTTGTGCAATTTTGCTCCACAATTTTTGGTCCAGATTAGAGCTGGTTAACCAATTTCAGAAACTACTTTAAAACTAGTTTAATATAACCAAATTATATTCAGTTGCGATTTTCAACTTTATTCAATATATATTGTAATCATAAATCAGTGTTGAGATTCTGCTGGAAGCAAAACAACTCGTTAAGTGATAAACGAATCTAGATAAATAAAAGGATAAAAATTGGTTTTGAAATACGAGAAATAAATAACTACTTGAAAACCAAATGAACCTAAATTCAAAAGAATTTTCTCTCGAGGTATCAAATTATTTACTAAAAAGTTCAAAGCAGAAAATGATTACATATATTAATCTTTAATGAAAATTTTACAGATCAAATAGTTTACTTTATCCAAAAAACTACCAGGTCTTAAATAATAATTAATTTAGATAAAATATACTTTTGTCTGAAAATATAATCTTACATTAGTCAAAATTCTTGTAGTTTCTGCTTATTATAATTAATTTTTATGAATATTGAAAAGTTTAAAAATTTTTAGTCATATATTTGCTTTTAACTATATGTAAATATTATTGAATATAGTATATAATATCTAAAGTTATCAAATATTTATATATATAAAATATATAAACTTTTTTATTAAAAAGTAAATACAAAATTTAATCTATAAATATATTCAGGAAGAATCTATTCTATTTTATTTATAAATATATTTTGTATTTATTTCTTAGTAAAGATTTTTATATATTTATAAAATACAAATATTTAATAACTTTAAATATTATGAATTATAGTATTTATATTAATATTAATATAAGATCTTTATTTATAAATGATAATTTTAATTAGATAATAACTAAATTATAAAGTTAATTACTTATCTAATTTAATATTTATTAATTAAAATAAATATTTATATATGTTGATTTTTTGTAATTAAAGATTTTATTCTTAATATATTTTTTATTATACAATTAAATTTCTTTAAATAATGTTTATTTACAGTTATATATTTCTATAATTACTTATTTTATTTTTTTTAATTATATATAATTATAATAAGAATAAAAAGATTAATAATATATTATTAATAAAAATTTAATTTTATTAATTTTAGTTTGTTATTAAATTCTTTGTTTTTTATTATTTTTGAATTCAATAAATTAATATAAATTAAGTTATATTATTTGTATAAACTTTAATGAATATAAAATATTTAATATAAAAGTTTATTAATTTATAAAAAATATATTTCTATTAATTTTTATAGAAATTAAAATTAGTATTATTTTTAATCAATTTTAAAAATTACTTGAAAATTATATCTAAATATAATTTAATTATATTAATAAATATAATTAATTTTATTAAAACTAATTAATTATTTAAAAATTAGTTAAATTCAAATATAAATCTAATATTAATAACTAATTTTAATCTTTATCTAAGATAATTATATAGTATATAATATTAAATATTTAGGGTGAATCTATTTGTCGCCGTCAACGATAGTCACTAATCACGTGTATATGTGTTCATCACATGATATTCAAAATTATCATGTTAAATATAATTATAATTAACCAATCAAATTTCAAACACGCGAAAAAAAACTATTCCAAGAGCACCCGGAAAAATTCTTCGCATTCAGATAATGTTAAAGATTGATTTTAAGGCTGGAGTTAAGATTAGAGCATTAAAGAGATACAGTGACTCACTAAAAAAATGGAAAATGACGAGATTCGAATATCTCGTCATTGAAGAATTATCGGAGACTAAAAGAAAGTGGATTTAGCATTCCACATAATATGACTGATTTGGACAAAAAAGTTCAGGCCTATAAAGATAAGTATAAAGGCACTCTTTTTCCACTACAATATC